AAATAAATACATCAATATAAAAAGAAAAGAAAAAACACTCATTCATGCTCTGACCTCAGAAATTCTGGGCATTGATCTGGGCTGCTCCCTGGTATTGGGGAGTTTCAAAGCTCCCCAGGTGATTCTAAAGCCCAGCGGGAGGAGAGGGCGGCCCCCAGGGGTTGCCTGTGGGCAGCACACCTGCAGATGGGGGCTCAGGACTGCCGCGGCACAGACATCAGCGCCGGCAGGCTGGTCTCTGTCAGCCAGCTCTGCCCTTTCTCTCTCCTTCTGTATCAAGCATTTGAGCTGAATTTCTAATTTCAGTTATTCTATTTCCAAAGAGTCTTTTTTCTTGTTCTCTGTTTATTTCTCTTTTATAAATCCAGCTCTTGTTTCATGGATGTAACTGCTCTATTTGTCTTAGAGGTCATTATTAGCATTCTTATTCCATGGTTTTGGATTCCACGTTGTCTCTGTTTTCACTAATTTCCCTTTTTACTGTTTTGTTTCTCTCTTGCTTTGTCTCTGTTTTTAACATTGGGAGCTCCTTTCAAATGTTTGCTGGTCCTTTTGTTTCTATTTAATGCTGAGACATCAAGAGGCCTGTAGCAGGTGCTCTGAGTACAGGTAGGTTGGATGGTAGTGCAACTTTAAATCAATTAAAAATCATTTGAGGGGCCGGTGTTTTGGCTCAGCGTTTGAGCTACCACTTGCAATGCCAGCATCCTGATGTTGGAGTCCTGGTTCGAGTCTCGGCTGCTCCTCTTCTGATCCAGCTCTCTGCCAATGTGCCTGGAAAAGCAGTGGAGGATGGCCCAAGTGGTTGGGTCCCTGGTGTCTATTTGGGAGACCTGGATGGAGTTCCTGGCTTCAACATAGCCCAGATCTGACTATTGCAGGCATTTGAGAAATGAACCAGCAGATGGAAGATCTTTTTCTCTTTCTGTCTTTCCCCCATAACTCTGCCTTTCAAGTAAATAAAATAAGATTTTATTAAGAATTATGAGAGAGAGAGAGAAACCTCTTGCTTACTTTTTAAAAAAGATTATTTATTTGAAAGTCAGAGTTACAGAGAGAAGAGAGGCAGAGAGGCAGAGAGAGAGAGAGAGAGAGAGAGAGAGAGAGAGAGAGAGGTCTTCCTTCTGCTGGTTCACTCCCCAGTTGGCTGCAATGGCCAGAGCTGCGCTGATCTGAAGCCAGGAGCCAGGAGCTTCTTCTGGGTCTCCCACATGGGTGCAGGGGCCCAAGGACTTGGTCCATCTTCCACTGCTTTCCCAGGCCATAGCAGAGAGCTGGATTGGAAGTGGAGCAGCCGAGACTTGAACTGGCGCCCATATGTGATGTTGGCACTGCAGCAGGCGGCTTTACCCGCTACACCACAGTGCCAGCCCCTTGTTTACTCTTTCACTCCCCAAATGCCCGAGACCACCAGGGCTGAGCCAGACTGAGACCAGGAGCTGGAAACTTCTTCCATGTCTCCCACATGGGCCATCTTCTACTTTCCCAGGCAGATTACCAGGGAGCTGGGCTATGGGTGCCAGAGCCCCAACCACTTGGGCCATCACCTGCTTTCTCCCACGGTCCGCATGAGCAGGGAGTTGAAATCAGAACTGGAGCTAGGACTGAACCCCAGGTGCTCTGATAAGGGGTGTGGGCATTTAACCACGAGGCCGAATACCCACCCCCAAACTTCCTGGCCCTGAGCTCAGTTTTCCTATGTCTTTTCTCCGGGCTCACCAAGCTTCGTTCTCAAAGAAGGGACTCCTGCTTTTCTATAGGGGAGAGAGGGAGGAAGGGAGGGGGGGAGGGCAGGTCCAGGTCACCAGGGCATGTGCTGTCCTTATGGCTAGATCATGCCACCCCTCCCCGCCTCTTCCTCATTCCCCCACTGCCTTGGCTGCCTTGGCATCACTTTCCCGTCTCTCCCCAGACGCACCTGCCCAGCCGTCTGCTCTGGCGTCAGACAGCCTGGGTTACCGTGGCGGTTACTCACGCAGCGCCCTCCGGGGCTGACATACAGGCCGGAAGCATGGCCTTCCGTGGCCTTGAACGTACTCCAGTGCTTCCTTCAGGGTGGAAGACACCGCTCCTGCCAAGCGCTCACCCATAGTGCCCTTTGCTGAGGATTTCTGGGGGAAGCTGGGGTCACCCCTTCCGGGTCCTCTGCTCCTCACTTCTGCCTCCCTCCCACCTCCCCCTCCCACCTCCCCCTGCTTCCATGATTGTCCCGAGAACTCCAGCTTCTCCCCCCGCCCTGTGGTGTCTTGCCAGTTAAATCAAGGCACATGGGGGCCTAACTTTTACCCCAGGAGATTCTTTCCAGTACGGTTTTTTCACCTCCAAGATTCTCACAGCCACCAGAGGGCTTTGCTAAGCACAGGTGGCGGCCCTGCCCTCGGAGTTCTGGGTTCAGAATATCTGGGGTGAGCCTGATGAATGGTGTTTCTGAAAGGTTCCTGAGAGATCTCGAGACTGCTAGTCCAGGGACTCCGCCTGGAGAGCCACTGCCGTGCCTGGCCACAAGCATGGTGATCCTACAGCACGAAGCGGGTAAACCCACAGCCAGGGCCCTGCGTGCGTTCACTAGGGGGGCTGGTTATGGTTTTGGGGAAGGTCCAAGGAGTGTCACCCCACATTGTGTGTAGCATCATCATATCTTCTCGCCTCTGATGCCCGCTCCAAACACTCCCCCCCCACCCCGCACCAGGCAAGGGCACCAAGGCCCAGACAGGCACAGGGACTCCTGCGGTCATAAGGCGGTCACAATGTCTTAAGGTGTTTTCCTTTTCCTGTTCCTTTACCGACATGTCTGGGGCCGCTGTCCATCAGGGGCTGCATGGTGATGCTTCGGTCAGTGACTGCCTGCCCCTGTGACGGGGGTCCCCTGAGAGGACAACATTCAATGATGTCACAGCTCTACGATGTTTGCAAGATAGCAAAATTGTACAATGTGGTGTTTCTCAGAACTCCTCCCTGTCGGCAGCGACGCTAAACTGTTTAAAAATGACAAGGACGTGTCCCCAGTATAGTTTTGGGAAGATGAGTGAATTAATAAGTGGCCACCCCACGCGTGTACGTGAAGAGTGGCGAGCCCGCAGCTTTGCAGCCAGGACTGAGCGCCTCTGCCCCAGCACGTGCTGCTTTTTATTTTATTATTATTATTATTATTTCTTGACAGGCAGAGTGGACAGTGAGAGAGAGAGACAGAGAGAAAGGTCTTCCTTTGTCGTTGGTTCACCCTCCAATGGCTGCCGCGGCCGGCGCACCGCTCTGATCCGATGGCAGGAGCCAGGTACTTATCCTGGTCTCCCATGCAGGTGGCAGGGCCCAAGCACCTGGGCCATCCTCCACTGCACTCCCGGGCCACAGCAGAGGGCTGGCCTGGAAGAGGGGCAACCAGGACAGAATCCGGCGCCCCGACCGGGACTAGAACCCGGTGTGCCAGCACCGCAAGGTGGAGGATTAGCCTAGTGAGCCGCGGCGTCGGCCTATTTTATTATTATTATTTTTTAAGATTGGGGATGGGGCCGGTGCTGTGGCTCACTTGGTTAATCCCCCTGCAGCACTGGCATCCCATATGGGTGCCGGGTTCTAGTCCTGGTTGCTCCTCTTCCAGTCCAGCTCTCTGCTGTGGCCCGGGAGGGCAGTGGAGGATGGCCCAAGTGCTTGGGCCCCTGTATCAGTATGAGAGACCAGGGAGATGCACCTGGCTCCTGGCTTCAGATAGGTGTAGCTCCAGCCGTAGCGACCATTTGGGGGAATGAACCAACAGTAGGAAGACCTTCCTCTCTATCTCTCTCTCTGTCTATAACTCTACCTGTCAAATATATATATATATATATAAAGATTGGGCTATTTATTTGAAAGTCGGAGTTACAGAGAGAGGGAAAGTGAGCAAGACAGGTGTCTTCCCTCCCCTGGTTCAGTCCTCAGATGACTGCAATGGCTCAGGCTGGGCCAGGCCACAGCCAGGGGCTTCATCTGGGATAGCAGGGCCCCAGCACCTGGGCCATCTTCCGCTGCTTTCCCAGGTGCATGAGCAGGGAGCTGGATAGGAAGTGGAGCAGCTGGGGCTGGAACCAGCGCCCATATGGGATATCAGTGTTGCAGGCGGCAGCTTTACCTGCTACACCACAAAGCCTGCCCCTAGCATGTGGCTTTAAGGGAATGCCCAAGTTCTAGAACAGGGGACAGCTGCTCCTGGGCTCCTGGCTTAGCTCAGCCTAGAGCTGAAGGGCGTCCGTTCTCAAAGGACCTGCCTCTCACTCTGAGGTCCCGAAGCCAGGCCGCCTGCCCACCACCACCACGGGATAAGATAGAGCCTCTTCCAGCCCTTTCGGCGAGCCGACAGCCGGCACAGGACTTCTCTGCGCATGCGCAAGGAGAGTTGCGGGAAGGATCCGGAGACCGCGACGACCGAGCCTGTGCAGTTGGAGAAGGCCGTGGCGGCGGTCTGCTTCCCCCAGAGCAGGCTCTGCACTCTTCTCTCCGCGGGGCTTTCTGCAGTTCTCTCTCCCCCCTTAGCAGGAAGACGATGCCCATGAGGAACCCCCTGAGGTTCTTTTCCCCGCCTCGTGCATCAGACCACCACCAGTATCCGGGTAGCTCCTGTCGCCCACGCATTTCCTCTTCCTCTAGGGGATGTTTCATTGCCAGGAGCGACGGCTGCCCTGCATACTCGCAGTGTAGTGGGCAAGGCCCGCGGTGGCACAGGGCCAGGCCACTGGGGTCCCCCAGCGGCCCCACCCTACTAATGAGGGCCCCGGCCCGGAGCTGTCCTTTGAAGCTCTGTCCCAAAGCTCGTCCCTGGTGATCAATGACAGGGTCCCCAGTGCTGCTCTCGCTAAATGACCAGTCTGGCGTCTTTTATGGGGGCGGGCACTCCTTGCAGGAAACCCCATTACTGATTAATTGGTGGCTTGCTCTGGGACGGGGTGTAAACATCCACAGCCCCCCGGGGGTGGCTGTCCGGCGCGAGCCCCCTCACTCTCAGGGTATAAGAAGGGCAGGTTGAGATCGGCAGACATCCAGACAGCTGCAGAGGAAAGCAAGCAAAGCACCTTCTCGACATGACGACCTCCTGCTGCATCGCCAACAGCTCGTCGGCCTCTGCCAAGAGCTGCCCCCGGCCTTCCTCCGTCTGCTTCAGCAACGTGAGCCGCCGGCCTGAGCTGTGCCTGGGCTACGTGTGCCAGCCCACGACATCCATGTCTTCCATCTGCTTGCCCACCACCTACCAGCCAGCCAGCTGCTTCTCCAAGACCCGCCTGCCCAGCTCCTGCAGGCTCAGCAGCCACCGAGCGGCCAGCTGCGTCTCCAGCCCCGTGGGCGTCTATGGCTGCTACTTCGAGGGCTCCTTCAATGGCAGTGAGAGGGAGACCATGCAGCTCCTGAACGACCGCCTGGCCAGCTACCTGGAGAAGGTGCGGCAGCTGGAGCGCGAGAACGCGGAGCTGGAGGGCAGGATCCAGGAGGCCTTGCAGACCCAGGTGGTCACCGCGGGGCCCAACTACCAGTCTTTGTTCAGGGTCATCGAGGAGTTCCAGCAGAAGGTGAGAGCAAGTGGTGACCAGCGGGCGACTGGCAGGGCAGGGAGGGTGCTGGCGCATGGCCTCCCTGATTCGAGTCTTGTTCATTTGCTAAGTTGAGTGCAGGGCAAAGAGGCCTCCCGGGGCACAGAAGTCTCTTCCGGCGTGAGCCCCCGGCCGCAGCCCTCCATGTGGGAAGAGACTGGGAGCTGGTTTCAGGGCTGCTCTGGAGCCACTGCGGGATCCCAGAGGTCCCCTTCCCCTCCTGCAGGCCTCGGTGTCTTGCCCTGTAGAGCAAGGGTCACCTTGGCCTTTATCCCGTGGTTGTCCCGAGGGTGCGGGGAGACCCCTCCCCACCCATGCTGCTCACTACATCCAAGACGAAGCATTTGTGTTTAGTTACTTTATTAAAGGATAGAGGCAGAGAGAGAGAGAGAGAGAGAGCGCGAGTGAGCGAGCGAGCGAATCTTCCATCTGCTGGCTCACTCCCCAGATGGTCTCAGCAACCAGGGCTGGGCTAGGATGAAGCCAGGAGTCTGGAACTCCATCTGGGTCTCCCACGTGGGTGCAGGGGCCCAAGGACTTGGCCCATCCTCCACTGCTTTTCCCAGGTGCATTAGCAGGGAGCTGGATAGGAAGTGGAGCAGCCAGGACTCAAACTGGTGTCCATATGGGATGCTGACTCTGCAGACAGTGGCTTAACTCACTGCGCCAGAATGCTGGCCCCAAGACGTTTGTGTCTGTGAAGAGACAGATGCTGAGAAAACGAATCTGCAGCTCTCCAAGGACTGGCAGCTCCCTCCATGTCCCCCAGAGCTCCAGGCAGAGGGGCTCGGCAGGGACGGCTGCAGGGCTGCTGGCTCTGCCTTTGCAACGGTCTCCTCCTCATTCGAATTCTTTTCTCTCCTCTCTTCCTGGTCTCGTCCCCTCTGCCTGCCTGGGCCCCTAGATTCTGTTCACCAAGGCCGGGAACGCCAGGGTGATGGTGCAGATCGACAACGCCAAGCTGGCTGCCGACGACTTCCGGACCAAGTGAGCTTAGCCAGGGGAGGGGCTGGGGGAGCACCCGCATAGGTGGTGGGGCTCTCCCAGCACAGCCTTGGGGCAGTTTCTGTCGTTGTCACGGACGTTTGGAAAGTTCTGGCAGTTCAAGGCCTGCCCTGAGTCCTGGGCTTCGTTCCAGTTTTCATGTGCTGTGTTCTGCCCCTGCAGGTATGAGTCGGAGCTGTCCCTGCGGCAGCTGGTGGAGGCCGACATCAACAGCCTGCGCAGGGTCCTGGACGATCTGACCCTGTGCAAGTCGGACCTGGAGGCGCAGGTGGAGTCCCTGAAGGAGGAGCTGATTTGCCTCAAGAAGAACCATGAGGAGGTGAGGACAGGAGTCCCGCTGAGGGCGCCCTGGGGAGCAGAGAGGGTGGAAGGTGGCTGAAGCCCCCAGGCCTGTTGCTGTGACTGTCTCCTCTCTGCAGACTGTCTGAGCTTCCTCCTCTGCACAACAGGGGTAATGTTTCACTATTATTATTACTAGTTTTTTGAAGATTTATTTATTTATTTGAAAGGCAAAGTTACAGAGAGGCAGAGGCAGAGAGAGAGAGAGAGAGAGAGAGAAAGGTCTTCCATCTGCTGGTTCACTCCCCAAATGGCCTCAGTGGCTGGAGCTGAACTGATCCGAAGCCAGGAGCCAGGAGCTTCTTCTGGGTCTCCCATGTGGGTGCAGGGCCCAAGGACTTGGGCCATCTTCTGCTTTCCCAGGCCATAGCAGAGAGCTGGATTGGAAGTGGAGCAGCCGGGACTTGATCCTGTGCCCATATGGGATGCCGGCACTGCAGGTGGCGGCTTTTACCGGCTGCACAATAGTGCAGGCCTCTCATTATTATTTTTTAAAGTATTTATTTATTTGAAAGGCAGAGAGAGAGAGAGTGAGCTCTTCCATCTGCTGGTTCACTCCCTAAATGCTTGCAGCAGCCAGGGCTGGGTTATACCAAAGCCAGGAGCTAGGAACTCCATCCAGATCTCCCATGTGGGTGGCAGGGGCCCAAGCACTTGAACCATTATCTGTGTGCGGCCTTCCCAGGGGCATTAGCAGGAAGCAGGATCAGATGTGGAGCAGCCAGGTCTTGAGCCGGCCCTCCTGTATGCGGCTGTCTCAGGAGGCAGCTTGACCTGCTACATCAGCGCACAGGCCCCAGAGAGAAGGTTTTCGGACAGGGCTCCTGGGAGACTGGAACGGGTCTCATGGATCATGGCTGTGGCCCAGGTAGTGGAGATGAAACACCTGCCTGTTCGTGGGCGCTCAGAAATGTAGCCCCTTCTCTTCGGCATTTGCTGGGCTAGCTAGCGGTGTGCGCCAAGTGCTCGCCGGTGGTGACTGTGTTCGTTTTAGCCACAGCCAGGAGCAGAGGGGTGCAGTAGGGCCAGGGGTGGGTTAGATTCTGGAACGCACATCAGATGGCCTTTTCCACATCTGCAAGCTGGACTGCTGGCCCCAGCTCCTGCAAGGGGGAGGTGGATGGCGGAGGTTCTCTTCCCTTTGATGACCCCGCCCCTGCTCCCCTGCCTCTCTCCCATCTGCGCTGAGGCCACCTGCAGCCGCCTTCCTTGCTGGTGTCTCCCCCCTCTCCAGCAGGTCCCCAGAGGCCCACCTGGGCCTGGTGGTTTTCCTGCTAATCTGGGTTTTTGGCCCTCGGCCCCTTGAGTTGGGATCTGGATGAACAAACACCTCTGATTCCCGGCTGGGTGTCTGTAGGCTTCGGTGAAAGGCACGCTCCGTCTCCACGGAGCACCCTGGGGCGCCTGACTCATCCCACTTAAGTCAGAGAACTGGGAACGGCCCCAAGGAGCCGCTAATGAGGCATCATCGCACAGCCCGCCAGCCCCGGTGATAACTTTCTCTCTTTGGCAGCCGGGCTGGGGAAGTGCCTGCTCCGGCTTGGGCCTTGAACCAAGTAAAGTCAGGCTCCAGGCCCCTCCTTCCCAGATAAACGCAGGCTGGAAGGGTGATTGGGAAACTGGGGGTACGGATTTCTCACTGGGGCCCCAAATGGCTCAGACAAACCCTAGCACTGCAGTTGGCTTCTGCCAGAAGTGGCACCGGGCGCCGTGTAGGAGGGCGCCTCCCAGTGCGGGGATGTCTGACTGGAGCCAGGAGACCCTGGGGATTCTGCAGGGTGCACTGTGGCCGTCAGAGGGCCCCTCGCACCTTTAGATCGTCAGCACCTTTTGTTGCAGCTGTTCTTGTCTCCCTCGGGAGGAGAGCTAGGACTGGGTGATTTTCACACTTGCTGGGGGGGGGGGGGCTCTTGTGCCTTTTCAGGAAGTCAACACCCTCCGATGCCAACTCGGGGACCGCCTTAACATCGAGGTGGACGCCGCGCCCCCTGTGGACCTGACCAAGATACTGGAGGAGATGCGGTGTCAGTACGAGACGGTGGTGCAGAGCAACCTCAGGGACGTGGAGGAATGGTTCAACACGCAGGTGGGCCTCTCGCAGGGCGTCTCCTCTGCTCTGCGTCCCTGGGAAGATGCCCCCAACCTTCCCCGTCTCCCCCCTGCAGATGGAGGAGCTTAACCAGCAGGTGACCACAAGCTCCGGGCAGCTTCAGAGCTACCAGTCGGACATCATTGACCTGCGCCGCACGGTCAACGCGCTGGAGATCGAGCTGCAGGCCCAGCACAGCCTGGTGAGTGCCGCGGGTGGGCAGCACAGCTCCTGCTGTCCGTCTGAGGCAGCACCGAGCAAAGGGGCAGGCAGCCAGGGAGGAGGAAGCGGAGGCCCAGGTGTCAGCTGGCCGGGGTGCTCACCCTGCTGCCCTGTCCTGGAGGGAAGGTTTTTGCAGGGTGAGCTCAGGGACCACAGGCGCTTCGTATCAGAGGAGGGTGAGGTGGACGCTGTCCAGCAGGACGCCCCGGGAAGGCTCGTCCTCTGCTGAGCCTGCCCTTCAACCTGTAGTGTTCAAGGGCATGCACAGGGATGAGAGTCAAAACTCCTGCCACCCACGGACTTCTCTGGGCCAACTGGATCAGAGTCTCTGGAGGTGGGGACGGGGCGTGGCTATTTTTAGGGCTCCCATGTGGCTAATGCGCAGCCAGGGTTGGAAACCACTCTTATTTATTTATTTATTTGAGAGGCAGACAGATAGAGATAGAGAGAGAGAGATAGCCCCCATTTGCTGGGTCTCTCCTCAAATGCCCCCAACTGCCGAAGCTGGGTTAAGCTGGAGCCAGGAGCTTGCAACTCCATCCAGGTCTCCCATGGGAGTGGCAGGGACTCGAGTCCTTGAGCCCTCACCTGCTGCCTCCCAGGGTGTGCATGAGCAGGAAGCTGGAGTCAGAAGCAGAGCTGGGACTTGGGCACTCTGAGGTGGCACTCGGGGCTCCCAAGTGGCACCTGGACTGCTTGTGCCAAATGCTCACCCCAAGGACCACTGTTCTCAGTGGCGCCACAGGAGGCACTTGGTGAACCTCAGATCTCAGTCACCAGAGGTCGTAGAAGGAACAAGGTTATGCACAACCAGATGTAAGACTTGGTTCAAATTGTGTGTGCGTGTTTTTTTTTTTTTTTTATTTGAGAGGCGGAGTTACAGACCGAGTGAGAGAGACAGAGAGAGAGAGAGAGATCTTCCACCCACTGGCCCCAAATGGCTGCATAGGCCAGAGCTGGGCCGATCCAAAGCCAGGAGCTTCTTCTGGGTCTCCCACGCAGGTGCAAGGACCCAAGGACTTGGGCCATCTTCCAGCAGAGAGCTGGATCAGAAGTGGAGCAGCTGGGACTTGAACCAGCACCCATATGGGATGTTGGCACTGCAGGCAGTGCCCACTATGCCCACTATGCCACAGCACCCACTATGCCACAGCACCAGCTCCCCAAATCGTGGACTTATCACGAACCTTGAACAAATTGCCCAGTGACTTAGCGAGGGAGGGGTTATTTCCAACACCACACAGAGACTTGGTTCTTCTTGGCTTCGCTTCTCACGGTTCTGATTTTCCTGTGTGTTAGAGAGACTCCCTGGAAAACACGCTGACAGAGACGGAGGCCCGCTACGGCTCCCAGCTGGCCCAGATGCAGGGGCTCATCAACAACGTGGAGTCGCAGCTGGGTGAGATCCGGGCGGACCTGGAGCGGCAGAACCAGGAGTACCATGTGCTGCTGGATGTCAAGGCCCGGCTGGAGGCGGAGATCAACACGTACCGGACCCTGCTGGAGAGCGAGGACTGCAGGTGAGTGATCCTGCTGAGGCTTGCCCTCCAGGGGCCATCAGCTTAGACCCCGTCAAGATTAAGAAGCCATTGGAGGGGAGGGTGTGTGGCACAGCAGGTTAAGCCGCCACCTGTCCATTGGGTGGAAGTCAGGCCGGTGAGACAAGGCCTCTGCTGTCGCGTTGGTTCCGTCTGTTTAGGGAGAGAGGCGGCCGGGCCATGGGGAGCCCTCTTTGGCTGGCAGAGATGACAGAAGGTAGCTTCCTGTGACTGAGCAGTGGTGAGCAGCCGGGCAGGCAGGGCCATCCGGGGCCGGTTCTTGGAGAACCACAAAGGCCACACAGGGGAGGAGAGCTCTACCTGACAGGCAGGGGGAGGGGCGATGGAACAAGCTGAGCCCTGCTCCCCCCCCCCCCCCCCCCGCCATGGTAGGCGTCTGGAATGCAGTGCCACCAGCATACGTGTTTAGTCCATGCGCTCAGCACATAGTCGAGGTGCAGGGAGCGTTTCTTGGCCGAGTCAATGAAACCTCACAGCTACTCTGTCAGGGAGGTCACCCCGAGGGCAGCGGGGAGAACTGAGAAGAGGCAGGACCAGGTGGGGACACTGTCGAGGGGGCCCTGGCTATGGCCTGGGTGAGCCGAGGCGAGGGCCTGCAAGAGGGTGGTGGAGGCATCGGCCCCCAATGCTGTGCGGGCAGAGTCCGCAGGACTGGGGGGCTGCCTGGAGGCGGGGTACCTCTGTGCGATGCACACCTGGCGGGAGGATGCCTGTTGTAGCAGTTTCTATTCCACAGCTAAGCTTGCTTCTCTTCTCCGGGGCAAGCATGGCAAAGCCAAAGGTTTGCAAGGCCCAGGCTGTTAGCTCACATCGTGACATGGTCGTGGGGGCCCAGCAGAGAGCTCCAGCCCCACGCACGGAGGGCAGTGCCGTCCGCTCGGGGCCACGTGGACCCTGGGAGCAGGAGGGCCAGCGGCGCTGGGTCTTCTGATTGTTTGAGGGAGGCTGGGAATCTGGAGTTCTTAAACGTTACATTCTCCTGATTTTTTAAATATTAAAAAAGCCTATAAAACGCGATTTAATAGAAATTAAAGAAACATATAGTACTAGTCAAATGAAGCGCATCTCAGGCTGCCAGTGGGTCTGAGCCATTTGGTCTCCGGCCAGCGTCCAATGCGTTGCTGCCGGTCTCGAGCCCACACCTGCCGGCCTCTGAGCTCATCCCTCTTCCTTTCACCGTGTGCTGATTGTTGCTCCTAATGAGCACATTCTTCGTTAAGCACCTGCTCTGTGCCAGCTCTGCAGGGTGGGCATCCGTCCTCGGCTGCCCAGCAGCAGAGACCGACCGCGGCAGAATCAGCGCCAGTCTCTGCGGAAGGGAGCGTGGGGTGGTGCACGGGCATCTGACTCTCAGCAGTGGGGGCTTCCAGGAGGAGGTGGCAGCTGGGCTGGGCTCCGAAAGGCCTCTCAGTCCGCTTTCTCTTCTAGAATAAAACACCTGAGGCTGTTAATTTATAAAGAAAAGGGGTTTGCTTTGGCTCGCTGTTGTGGAGGCTGGGAGGTATTGGCCCCTGCCTGGCTTCCGGTGAGGGCTGTGTGCTGCTCCCTGCGTGGTGAGAACGCGGGTGAGAGAGGAAGCAGGAGAGAGCTGGGCCGGGGGTGGGGGGGCTCGCTTTGTAGCCGTCTGCTCTGGCAATAACCAGGCCACTCTCCTGGGAACCACAGGCAGCCTATCCTGAGGGTGGGGCCCCCTGAGCTCAGCTCTGAAGGACCCCAGCATCTCCCATCACTGGGAGTCAAGTTTCAAACTGGAGGCTTGGCCGGACACAGACCACATCCAAGCCACAGCAGAAGAGAAGAAATTGACTAGGGGTGGGGAGAGGGCAGAGTGTTTTAGAAATAGGAGCCGGGGCTGAAGCCCCGGGCCGAGCAGCGTGGTCCATGGAGGAACTGGGAGGAGTTCTGAGCACCCGGGGCTGAGTGGAAGGGGCCTGGAGCTGAGGCTGGGCTGAGAGGTGGGGGCAGGGTCATCACGCAGGTCCTACCGGGAAGGCTACTCCTTATTCTGGGCACCGACAGGAGCCTCTGCAGGTGTTAAGCAGGGGAGGGACAGGACGAGATGGAGCAGGGCAGGAGAGGGGCTGGGCAGGTAGCACAGGTACAGATGACAGGGATGCTGGGTGGAGAAGACACCCAGTGGGTGTGTCTGAGGGCATCTGGGGCAGCTGGGGCGGCATCTGCTGCCGAGCTGGGCCCCGCACCAATCTCCGCCACTGTGGCTTTCTCCCGCAGGACGCCCTGTAATCCATGCGCAGCTTCCTCCGTGCCCCCTTGTGTGCCCTCTCCCTCGGTGCCCCGCACCATCTACGTGCCTTGCACGCCCTGTCCCCAGGGCTGCCACTGAAGTCCCTCTGCGCTGCGGATCCTGCCTGCTGCTGCTGCCTCCTTAGACCGAGCCTGGCCCCATCTTGGTGCTCGCTTGAAGAGCAGGGCCAGCCTGGCCAGCAAGGAAGACCTTGAGCCGGACCAGCAGGTGGACCATCTGCAGCATCTTCTCCTCCTACAGGGGGCGCCCTCACCTCCCTTGCTTCAAAACCTCCTCTTCTCTTTCCATGGGTGCTCTTTTCTTGCTGTCTGTGTTCCTTGAAATAACATGCTTTCTTAGATAACTGGCAAATAAAGCTTCTTTCTTGCAAACGCATCATTCTGTAGTTGTCATGTGTGCTGCTGTATCCACAGCCAGCTCTGCGCCACTGGGCTCGACAGCAGGTCCCTCCTGCTTCCGGGGAAGCTTGACAGGTGCTCACTGGAAGGGCCGCTTGGAGCCAGGCAGTCGGTCCAGAGCCAGGTAGTAAATGAATACAGAGGAAAGGGAGACACCGATGCCAGAAACCTAGGCCAAACTACGGTAACTGGGGATCCTACTGGAATGAATCCCTCCCTGCGTCTCATTACAGCCGGTACAATGGGATCATTCACTCTTTCCTGCAATAAGTCTCTGAGTGCCTACTGAGCTCAGGTTCCGTGTTAGGGGCTGGCTGGGCCGGGTGTTGGTCCTGGATGCCTTGTTAATAATGCCTTGTTTAATTCTTGCAACAACCTATGAAAAGGCACCGTGATCTCAACATGAGGAGGAAACTGAAGCCAAATGAGGCTAAGAAAGTTGCCCGAGTGGTCGACCCAGGGCTCAAATCGAAGCCCCCGGACTCCACAGATGCTCAGCCAGCCCACAGGCAGCGTCCTCAATATTTGCAAACTGCAGCTGGGTGCAGGGCTTGCAAAAGGTCCATGTGACCCTCATCATCTAAACACTTGGGGTGGGAGAGGAGCTCAGGCCAGAGTGTGTGTGGCCCCCCTCCTCCTTCCTCACCCAGGCCCAGGGAGCAGTGGCGCTGTCATAGCGACACCGCCACCAAGAACTGCTCCCACTCTGAGCGCTTCCAGTGCCCCAAGTCCCGGGGTGAGGGTATTCTAGAAATGAACTCAGGCATCGTGCGGCATCGTGTCCATTGTGTGCAGGGGAAACAGCCACAGACAGTGGCTGAGTCCATGTAAGGATCTGAACCCCAGTCCAGCTGCCCAGCAGCGTTAACCATTCTGCTACACCGCCCTACCCAGGAAGCCTGCACACTCGCAGAGACTGGGAGAAGGTAAGCGTGGGGGGATCTGAAAAGGCGTCTTGTGACAGGAAGCATTGATGGGGACCACGGGGCTGGAATAGATGGGTATAGCACCCGACAGGTGCACGTGGGGGTCTGTGGGGCAGCCGAGGTCAGGCTTGGCTGAGGCTGTGGGTTCCTGCAGGAGACTGCTGGGAGTAAAGCTCAAAGGAGAGGAGCGCACTGGCTGGTGGGAGGCCTCAGGGGTCCCCTGCAGGGCCTGGACTGTCTCTCAAGGGCAGTGGGAGGGCTGCTGCAGGCCTGGGGCCCAGGGATGACATGACTGGAGTGGTATTTCAGAAAGCTTCCCCCAGGGAGGCTCAGGGGCGGGGAGAAAGCTGACGGAGAGTCCGTGCAAGAGGCTCTCAGGGTCTTAGTAAGGGCGATGGCAGTGGCCACAGAAAAATAAGGCTCCACTCCGAAAGACGCGGTGCGCGGTGGCCGTGCACTGCGGCAGGTAAAGGGGAGAGAGCCGGAAGCATCTCCCTCCACCTCACTCTCCAAATGCATGGTTCTGCCTTAATGAGCTGAGAGGAAATCCCTACTAAGTATCTGCCCTCTGGCTTTGCCAAGAGGTGGTGAGAAATGCATTGGCTCCAGAGGCTGTCCGTGGGTTCCCTGGACCGATGTGGTCCTGCAAGACCCCCCACCTCCCCGCAGACAGGGGCCTTAGCCTGATGGGGCCCTAGCTCGGCACGGTGCTCCTGGTTGGTGGCTGGGTAAGACTTTAATGAGCTGAAATGCCGGGGGGAGGCCTTCTGTCCTCAGAACTGCAGGCGAGTGTATTTCTAGAATACACTCAACTCGAGCGACGCAACAGACCAGGCCGACCAAATCTTTGGCTGGAGCAACTGTTCTGTCCAATATGGTAGCCACCGTCCACGTGGTTGTCCCCTTTGTAAGGAAAGACAATTCGGTACAACTGTAGAGTTCAGTTCCCTGGTTGCACAAGGCCCCCGTGGCTAAGGGGTTCCCCACAGGACTAAGCAGACGGGGAGGATTCCTAACATCGCGGGGAGCTCCCCCGGACAGGGCCAGCCTACACTGGCGGAACCGGCAGGCGCCTTGCAGCCGCCGTGGCCCAGCCTCTGCCGCCGTACAGACAAGGAGTCTAAGACCCCGAGGGGTGGAAAGATGCGCTCACAGGCCCACGGCCGACAGGTGGGAATGGGAGCCAAGTGCCTGACGCCAAGCCCTGCAGCTCTCCCCAGCGCCTCCCGCTCTCCCCCAGCACCTGGGGTTTATTATTGTTTCAGGCTAATAAATATTTCCCCATGAATGGAGGTGTTTGCTTTGAGAGGCTGAAACTCTTCCCTGGGAATCCAGGGAACCAGCAACCTCCGACTCAGAATCTGCTTAGCCTCGAGGGTGCGGCTCTGTAGCAGCAAAGACCAGGGCCGCGGCCAAGAAGCAGGCGCAACCGCCCAGGGGATGCCAGCCTGGAACCCAGGGCTCGGGGCCCCTTTGGGACTTCCACAGGCTCCCCATTGCCCTCAGCTGTACCTGTGGGTCACTCCGACTTGCCAAGACCTGTCTGACCACCCAAAGCCTGCTAACGCTTTTTATGTGAAACCGAGCCTCAGAGCCCAGGGCCAGGAGTGCCGTCTCCCTGCTGGAGACGGATGGCCAGGACTGTCTGTGTCTGGATGGTACTTCCAAGCTGGAGGCCTCAGGAGCTGTCCCCTCCCTGTCCAGCCCCCCAGTCTTACTGCTGAGCGGTGAAGCCGCGAGTGCAGGCTTGGAGGAGCACTTAGGCCTGCGCTCCGCACACAGCGGTTCTTACATCACGACATTGGGATTTAACTCACTCTGGTTTACAGGGAAGCGTGGGCAGGGCTGGGCTCAAGCCGTGAACACTCTGGCTTATTTGATGTCTGGGAGGAACTCCCACAGGTACCAGGCGTCCCCCAGTGGGAGTGGGAAAGGAAGCACTTGCTTCAAGTCCCAGCTTTCCCTGGGGCCATTAAGCAGCTTGGGCCTGGCACCTGCCACTCACCGACCCAGGGCAAGGCCTCTCTCTGAGGTCTGGGAGTGAGGGTCTATGGGACAGAATTGCCCCTCAGGGAAACCTGGCTTCCCAGACAAAGACCCAGGAGTCAGGCATAGGGCTGAGAGATGGGTCAGTGTATGGACTTAGACGGCTTAGAACAAATCTCTTCCCACTCCCTGTACTAGGAAAGCTTGGTACAATAATACTTGCTTTGTTTTGTTTTAAAGCTTTATTTATTTATTCAAAAGGCAGAGTTACAGAGAGGCAGAGGCAGAGGCAGAGAGAGAGAGAGAGAGAGAGGTTTTCACTCACTGGTTTACTTCTCACAATGGCTAGAGCAGTGCTGATCTGAAGCCAGGAGCCAGGAGCTTCCTCTAGGTCTCCCACATGGGTGCAGGGACCCAAGGACTTGGGCCATCTTCCACTGCTTTCCCAGGCCACAGCAGAGAGCTGGATCGGAAGTGGAGCAGCTGGGTCTCGAACCGGCGCCCATATGGGATGCTGGCACTGCAGGTAGCAGCTTTACCTGCTATGCTACAATGCCAGCCCCAGCTTGGTACAATACTTGTAATGAGCTAAACAGGGACATGCCTCTTTCATGCTGTAACCAGGAACCTCACCAATAAGAAAACAATTCTTTCTGTTTTGTAAATGTTAAATATTTATTTATTTTTAACATGTTTATTTATTTTTATTTACCTGAAAGGCAGAGCAATAAGGGGGGGGGGTTAAGAGTGGGGGGAAAGAGAGAGAGAGAGAGATCAGTCTTCCATCTGTTGGTTCACGTCCAATTGCTGCAACAGCAGGGGCTAGGCCAGGCCAAAGCCAGGAGCTGGGGCCTCCATCAGGATCTCCCATGTGGGTGGCAGGGATCCAAGTACTTGGGCATCTTCCACTGCTTCCCTAGGTGTGGGCAGGAAGCTGGATTGGCAGCAGAGCTGGGGCCGGACCCCAGGCCCTCCCAGAGGGATGCAGGCTTCACGAGTAGGCTCACTGCTGCCCCACAATGCCCACCCCTATTTATTTATGTGAGAGTCGGAGACACAGAAATGGGGGTGGTGGAGAGAGAGAGCAAGAGAGCGAGAGAGCGCGCTCCCATTTGCTTGTTCGCTCGGTAAGTGCCCACAGTGGCCAGAACGGGGCAGAGCGGAGACCTGGAGCTGGGAACTCCGTCCAGGTCTCCCATGCGGGTGGCAGGACCCAACTGCCGGCGCCATCACTGGGCTTGCTAGGGTGCACTTTAGCGGGGAGCGGGGGCCAGGTGTGGGAGCAGGGGTCGCAGCCCTGACCCTCAGATAAGCGACGCAGGCGTCTTTCCCCGTATTTTAACCGCCAGGCCGGAGGCCCACTCCGTGCTTTGCAGAATTTAACACTTGAATCTAACGCTCTCAATGTGGCTAAACAGCAAGTCCCCAAAGATCCTCTGATGTCTGTCTTCCTGAGCGACGGGTCGAGGTAATTGCTGCTCCACCCAGCAGCCTCTCTCAGCCAGGGAGTGAGCGACACACACAGGAGCAGCTGGCCATCAGGGAGCGCTCAGCCGCTTTGGCTTCGGGAGCGCTGGGCTGCAGCGAGTCTGCCTGAGCTGTCTCTGTGCCTCTCTGCCTCTGTTTCACAGGCTGTTG